GTGCACCCAGATTTCAGAAGTCACAGTTCTATGAAACTCAGTGTTCCTTTAGGTTAAAAATGTCAGTTCCTTAAGGTTTAAAATTGCTCCCACCACATTGCAAAGCCGATTGTGTGCTCCCTTCAGGTGGACTCACCTTAGGGTGCAAGGGATGCTCCTTAGAAGGAAGGAGGGCAAGACTTCCCTCGCATACCTTTGGACAGGTTGTCAGGAGAGACCAGTCCCCAGAAAAGGACGTGATGCTTGGCACATTGAGGGTCAGCCAGAGAGAGGCAGCCCCGTAGTGGGCTGGGTTGACACAGTGGCTTCAACAATGGGCCAAAGCACTGTGAGGAGGCCCAGGAGCAGGTGTTGTTTGTTCTGTTGTACACAGCGTGGTCAACATGAAGAACAACAACAGCTTTGGGGGAAAGCAAAGATGGCCATATGAAAAATGCCTGAGGTGACCAGAGGTTGAGAGAAACTAGAAAGGACATTACCCTGGGACCTAGAACCTTCGGCTGACACCTGGAACAAAGAGCACTGGCGGGGCAAACCCAAACATTGGCCTATCAAACTACCCAGGGCTCCGCCAGAGAGAGCGCTGGTGATCTTCTTTGCTCTGTCACCTGGGGTCGCTATGATTCAAAATGAACTGTAAGTCACCTAACAAGAACAGCCTCTGGAACTGTGAAACATTACATCTGTTTTCAGAAGCCACCCAGGTGTAGTACTTTGTTACAGCAGCTCTAGGAAACTAATTGTGGTAGTTACATAATCTGTGTCCACTTGAAGATATAATGAAGGGGTGGAGTCTAGCCTGATGGTACCTCTTGTGGGTGTGACCTTCTCATAAGGAGGGTCCTGGGAACATCACCACCCCTTCTTCACCTTTCTGCTGTTGAGTCACTCAAAGAGCTTCCAGAGCCACCACCATTGGATCCACACCACTCTGCACCCACCAGCCTGTGATCTCCCTGCATTCTGCATTATTGCAGGTGACTGCATGAGTCTGAAGAGGGGTTATGGACTAGTATTGGATTTATGAGCTTAATCTGGACTGAGATGGGATTCTTTCTTGAGATACAAGTACTTCTTGACATAAAGCTCTCCCTTACACATATATGAGCATCATTGGGTTTGTTTCTCTAGTCAGCCCAGCCTAACAGACTATAGTACAAAAATAGAGTAGACCCACAGGATATTGGGCATGAAAATCAGACCTCTGATGGCAGGACTCTATCTTTTCACCATCTTATCCTCAGGGCTTAGAACAGGACTGGACACATAAATAGTAATCAATAAATAATAAATATATGTTGCATACATAAAAATAAATTGATATATTAATTTTAACCTAGAATAATCATGTTGTTTGCTAAATCCAACAGGAAACTGAATTTATAAATTACCTTATGATGAAAGACATGCATTAAAACCTTTAAATACATTCCAACAATAATTGGTGACCATCAAATCTTTTAAAAATAGAAACTAAAACTGAAGAGATGCTGCTTCAAAGAATTTGGCCTATTAAACATTACATTAAATATTCATTTATTTTTTTAAAGTTGTAAATGTCAATGAAAGAACAAAGCTGTCAAGTGCTGGGAGAATTTTATTAGGAAAACAGCCTCAGACACAGATGAGAGCACAATGAAACTGGGGGCTCAGACCAGCTTTACATGCTGGTGAGGTCGTTCACCCACTGGCGAGGTGCTGTGGTCGATGTGAAGTGATTCGAGGGGACCAGAAAACTGTGCACCAAACGACCTCCTCTTTTCTGAAACCCCAGCATGGCACACGCGTTGCTGTTGTTCTTGTTAGGTACCATTGAGCTGCTTCCAACCCATAGCACAACAAAACAACACACTGCCCTGTCCTGTGCTGTCGTCACAATTGCTCCTGTGTCTTAGGCCATTGTTGCAACCATTGTGTCAATCCATCTTGTTGAGGGCCTTCCTCTTTTGGGGTGCCCTTACACCCTACAAAGCATGATGTTTTTCTCCATGGATGGTTCTCACCTGACAGTATGTCCAAAGGTTGAAAGGCAAAACTTTGTCACCTTTGCCTCTACAGAGCTCTCTGGTTTTACTTAAGCCCATGGTATTTTGAATATTCTTTGCCAGCACCCCAATTTAAATGCCGCCATGCTTCTACAGTCTTCCTTATTCAATGTCCAACTTTCACATGCATATGAAGCAATAGAAAATACCATGGCTTGGGTTAGGTTCACCTCATTCCTCACAGTAACAGCCTTGACTTTCAGTATTCTAAAGAGGTCTTATGCAGCAGATTTACCTAATGAGACACATCTTTTGATCTCTTGCCTGCTGCTTCCAGGAGCATTAATTGTGGAGTTAAGCAAGACAAAATCCTTGAAAACTTCAACCTTTTCTCTATTTATCATGATGTTACCTATTGGTCCAGTTGTGAGAGTTTTGGTCTTCTTTACCTGCGTAATCCATGTGAAGGCTACAACACTTGATCTTCATCAGCAAGTACTGAACGTCCTCCTCATTTTCAGCAACCAAGGTTGTGCCATCTGCTTATCTCAGGTTGTGAATAAGCCTTCCTCCAATCCTGATGCCACACTCTTCTTCATCTAAGCCAGCTTTTGAAATTATGTGCTCAGTATACTGATTGAATAAGTATGGTAAGAAGATGTTCTGTTTGCACAATTGCCTCTTGATCCATGCACAAATTCTGTATGCACAATATGATCCATGTACAAATTCTGTATGCACAATATGATCCATGTACAAATTCTATATGCACAATATGATCCATGTACAAATTCTAAATTGTGGGATTTTCATTCATCTCAAGGTTATCCATGATTTGCTATGATTCACACAGTTGAATGCCTGTGCATAGTCAATGAAACACAAGCAAACATCTTTCTGGTTTTCTCTACTTTGAGCCAAGATCCATCTGCCATCAGTAGTGATAACCCTTGCTCCATATCCTCTCTGAATCCAGCCTGAGCCTCTGGCAGCTCCCTTTGAATGTATTGCAGCAACCCTTGTTGGATGATCTTCAGCAAAGTTTTGCTTGAATGTGCTATGAGTGACACTGTTGTATAGTCTGAACATTCTGTTGGTTCACCCTTTTGGGGGAATGGGTGCACATATAGATCTCTTCCAATCAGTTGGCCAAGTAGCGCTCTTCCAAATTTCTTGTCATACATGAGAGTGATTCCAGTGCTTCTTCGGCTTGTTGAAACCTTTCCATTGGTATCCCATCAATCACCATGATCAAACTAAGAGAAGAAAAGAATGAAAAGTCAGTAGACTCACATTTTTCTCTGCGCTAAGTCTTTCAGGTAGAGGTCCTTTGACTACAAGTAACACAACGGCAGTATAAACACAGAGGGTGTTCTGACTTCCTAGTGCTCCATGAAAACTCATCCCAAACACTTGTCTCTTAAAATAGCATTTATTTTCCTCAAAAACTTGCACTCTTACCACAGTTGGGTGCTCCACCAGGCATCCATTAGGGTGGCTCATCGGCTGGGGCCTGGAGTCCTCTGATGGCTCATTCCAATGCATATTCTGTGGCCCATATTGGAAAAGCTCAAACAGCTGGGGGTGGGCACGGCTGGGCCTCCTAGGACTTCTCTCTCTCTCTCTATGTAGTTTCTCCCGCGTGGTGGATTCAGGGATAGCCCAACTTCTTACATGTCAGCTGGACGCTCCGAAGGTGTCTGACCCAAGAGAGAGAAAAACAAGCAACCTCATACCTGTTGCCCTGTGTTGATCCCAACTCAGGGGGATCCTGTGTGCTGCCGAGTAGAACTGCTCCCATCTTGGCAGAGCATCAAGCAGGGTTGTCTTCAGAGGGCTGCTTGGTATGTGTAAACAGCCACCTTTTAGGTTACTTTGTACTACTGTCTCACCTGTTAGGACCGATCTTGGGAACAGGCAGCATCACTTCCACTACACCCTATAATTGGAAGTGAGTTACTAAGTCTGGCCCGTATTCAACCTGCAGAATATAGCACAGTCTGTCTGCCACAGTAAATTTCACAAAATCACTAGGAAGAAGAGCTTCAAACAGCTTTTCTCCTCCTTCAGTCCTTGCTTGTTGTTTAGTGAAACGGTTATTGTCATTTAGTGAAATGACCCAGGTATGGTTAGAGTAAGGTGACCAGATTTAAAGCAGGACACCATTGACTGGCGGGGTGTGTGGTGGTGGGGGTGTGTGGCTGTTCTTGATTAAAAATTTGGTCTATATGGACCAAATAGACCATTCCCTAGCTTGTCGTGCATTCTTTCCAAAACTCAGAACTTTTTTAAAACGCCACAAATCGGGACTATCCTGCCAAAAGCGGGACGTCTGGTCACCTAGTAGAGGGAGAAAGTGCATCAATTAATGAAAACTTCATTTACAAACTTCCATTTGCAAATAAGATCAGAAATTCCCTATTGAACGAGATGAGCTATTGATAGAGTTTAAACAGGAAGCAGAGTTGGGACACCTCAGAGACATTTGCCACCATGACAGGAAGGACTGAGAAGGAGGCGGAGCGCTGCATTCTGATTAACTGCTAAAGCTGCCTTGCAGATTAGTGTGTAAAGGTCCCAGGCTGGAAAACAATCTGAGAGCAGGGTGTAAAGGGACTATGA